TTTTTTTTTTTTTTTGGGGGGGTGGAGGGGGGAAGACTTTAAAATGGCCTATAGCCAATGTATGATAGGATATAGAAACCCCACCCGAGTTAATCCTGAGTTAACAGCAGCCTGACCCAATTAGGCTCCTGAGTGGCAGCTGGAGACGTATTAGGCATAACTAGTGATCAAACCTCGCTAGGAGGGAGTTGGGGCTTCAGAAAGGAGGGTGTGTAGGGCAGTGGGGGAAAAGGCCGGGGAGGACTCAGCTGGGAGTTTCTTTCCTCTTTTGGGCTAAAGATGAAAGCTGTGTGGGAGGCTTGGAGCCAGCACTAGAGGGTTCAGAGCCAAGGGAAAGGCTCGGGGCAGTGGAGACTGGGTGAGAGATGTGTTGTCCTGTGCCAGGAGGAAGCTGGAGACAGTGACACCCAAAAGGCAGTGATGGCAAAGCCTATGGGGGGTTTGGACTGAGGTTTAGGGGTCTGTGGGGAGGAGCTGCAGGAAGGGACAGGCTCCTGGGGCAGGGAGGAAGCACTGCTCTGAAATAAGAGAAAGAAAGCACTTTGCAGGTGTCGATTCCAAGAAGTCGAGGCCGTGGGCCCTGGGAAGGAAGCGGATGGTGCCAGGGAATGCTAGTCGAGGCAGGGAAGACCCTGGGTAGGGATAGTGCAAAGGCTATAGGTGATGGTGGTTTTTACTGCAGCAGACCAGTGCAGAACAGAGGCTGAGGAAATACCATGACAGGTGGAAATGAGAGTTTTTGTGACAGTGGTGAGCCTGAGCCAGGGTATGGTAAAGTATGGGGGGAGGGGGCTGAGTGGGACTTGAAGGCCTTGCGTTTCTGTGAGTGGCCTACACTGAAGATCCCAGGGGAGGACCCAAGGGGCTGGAACTTTGAGTATTCTTTTATGTGGACTTGGCACTTGACTACCCTGACCGGGGTGTGGAATAACCCACTGACCTGGCCAGCAGAGGTGGACCACCACAGGTTTGGAGTGACCATTGAGATGGGGCACGAGACAGGAAAGAGCTGCTGGACTGTGCCTGGCCACGAGGGGGCACACCAGTGGTGCATCCACCATTTCCATACAACGTAAGTGCAATAGCAAGAAAGTCCCACAGAGGATGTCTGACTTATAGCCCAGCACCCTAAAAGAGAATCAGACAGTATGTCTGTTGCCTGCCTTGCTCCTGTGCATGTCCTGTTGAAATCATTCCTGTTTCAGCCATTTTTAAGAAGGTGCAGTGTTCTAGACAGAGGTTTCTTTTGCAAGCATGGTTGGCTTGTTTGGATCTCTGTACATTTTGCTTCACTGAACTTACTGGCAGTTGT